CACTACCAATGTAAAACTAATTCGAATCGTGATCCAGAATCATGAGAATTCATCAACTCGCAAGGGTGCCAATTGGGGACAGGCCTACTACAGAATGTCAAACATGTTCGGTAAAAGTTTGGTCTTTAGGCTGACTAGCTGAACTGTATGAATTGTATTCCCTCTATTTTCTGTTCGGGATCACAAAAAAATGTGAGCAATCGCAAACTAAAGATGACACTAGGGTGCTGGTAACGTTGTTCTGCGTCTTGTTTATTTTTGTTCCTGAGAATGTATTTATTTGTTGAGGTGAGAGCAGATCAGTTTATTGTAAGAATAAAGACATGGTTATTTGTCTTGGGTGGTGTTCTGTCAATGTCTCTATTCGTGTTTGTATTACATCGTGTGTGTTATTAACAAGGCATGGGTGAAAAACACAGTAATTATAGTATATATGGAAATATTTCCTAACGTGTCAGCGAGTTACATATTTCTACCATGAGGGCATTTCGACGCAAGATTATTTGTATATATATACTCGCATAATTATACCTTGGCTACCTGACGGTGTGGTTCGCTTTTGAGCCAGCCATGTTACTGTTCAGCTCATGTGCTGCATTAAGATAAGATTTGATAGTGTAGTGAAGCGTAATGGAGTATAGTTGTAAAAACTAAATTATCCATACCACTCTGTGATGTTCATGAAGGGATATTGTGTCCTCCATCAGTAAAATATGAGTAGTTTTTGTCGTAAATATTTTAATAATTGATTATCCTCCACGGAGTTATGGTGGTCTGAGATTTTGTTGTAGTGCTTGTGAAATGACATAAACCTTAAGAAATCAATATGGAGACCACTTAAGAGAAAACCATCACAGTGAAATACAGCTCAGGCAATGTGTTTCTTTCTACCACAGCACACTGGAATATATACACACACAAAATAATATAGAAGATTTGACTAAAACTGATATTTTATGCATTCGGCATGAGATAAAATGTAGGGTGAATAAACATGAAGCATATGGACATGTGCGAACTTATTATCGCCAGGGTGAGTGCGCACACGGGCATGAGTGTTACGTTGGCACGTACACATCAAGGAGATGGGGGTGAATATTTTAGCAATTTACATTCATGGTGAATGCACACATTAGTCTGTGCTAAGAATACGCACCGTGTTGACATGTCGGAATTTAAATAAAGTAAGAACGTAAATAAATACGATAGGACGGCTTTTTGTGTTTATTTTTTCAGCCACTCACTCAGCCACTTACTCACTCACCCACTCGCTCACTCACTCACTCAGCCACTCACTCACTCACTCAGCCACTCACCCATTCTCTCAGCCACTCACTCACTCACCCACTCGCTCACCCACTCACCCTCTCGCTCAGCCACTCACTCAGCCACTCACTCACTCACCCACTCGCTCACTCACTCACTCAGCCACTCACTCACTCAGCCACTCACTCATTCTCTCAGCCACTCACTCAGCCACTCACTCACTCACTCACCCACTCGCTCACTCACTCAGCCACTCACCCACTCGCTCACCCACTCACCCTCTCGCTCAGCCACTCACTCAGCCACTCACTCACTCACCCACTCGCTCACTCACTCACTCAGCCACTCACTCACTCACTCAGCCACTCACTCATTCTCTCAGCCACTCACTCACCCACTCACTCACTCACCCACTCGCTCACTCACTCAGCCACTCACTCACCCACTCACTCACCCACTCACTCAGCCACTCACCCACTCGCTCACCCACTCACCCTCTCGCTCAGCCACTCACTCAGCCACTCACTCACTCACTCAGCCACTCACTCACTCACTCAACCACTCACTCACTCTCTCAGCCACTCACTCAGCCACTCACTCACTCACCCACTCGCTCACTCACTCAGCCACTCACTCACCCACTCACTCACCCACTCACTCAGCCACTCACCCACTCGCTCACCCACTCACCCTCTCGCTCAGCCACTCACTCAGCCACTCACTCACTCACTCAGCCACTCACTCACTCACTCAGCCACTCACTCATTCTCTCAGCCACTCACTCAGCCACTCACTCACTCACCCACTCGCTCACTCACTCAGCCACTCACTCACCCACTCACTCACCCACTCACTCAGCCACTCACCCACTCGCTCACCCACTCACCCTCTCGCTCAGCCACTCACTCAGCCACTCACTCACCCACTCACTCACTCAGCCACTCGCCTCACCTCCGATTAGCACGGTTGGCCACGTGTGGTGCGAAAGAAGTTCAACGTACATACGTAAGCACCAGATGAATAAGCATGCTTGAGATTGCACTTGTTAGTAATATAATAATCTGCAATTCGAATAAATCCTACTCCTTTGCCACATTGCCTGCTTATTAAAAAAATGTATACTGTACTAATGTTATTATCAAGATGTTTTAACCCTTGTCTACTGAAGTGCAGGACTGTATGGCAATTGTATTTTACACCAAGAATTTCAATAGTTTTGGAATACACTAATTGTTGCAATTACGCAATGAATCTGTGAACATTTAACCAAAAACTTAGAAACTAGGGTGGCCACAAGAACGACCGCAAACACAATGGTTGCATTTCGATTTAAAGCTTTCGTGACTGCAGGGATTCATCTTCTTGGTTCTTTCGGTAAAGTCACGTAGAAGGGAAATAATAAAATAATAAAAATAAACCAATAAAATAATTCTCACGAAGTTTCGGCCACAACGCAAGCAGACAGGTCTGTCTGAATGACACTGTCATTGTCATTCAGACACTGTCTTCCCGACAGACCTGTTCTTCACCTGAGGACGGCTGCTGGCAATGTGGCCGAAACGTCGTGAGAATTATTTTATTATGTTTTATTTTATTTTATTATTTCCCTTCTACGTGACTTTACCGAAAGAACCAAGAAAATGATTGCATTTTTTATTTTTTATTTCTCAAGCATGTATTTGGAAGTCTTTTTTTGTATAAACCAAAGAATGTTGCAGCGGTGTGTCATTTTAACACACCTTTTCTTCAGAATACATTCTCTTGCCAGAGAGATTAATATTTTGACGGGCAGGACAATGCCTCGGGGTGTTGTTCGTGAAAAAAGTTTATTTGCTTGATATCTCGCAAGCTGCTGCCAGTCGTTGTAGAAAAACCCTGCCAAAGTCTTCACACGTAGAGAACAATCATCACACAACTTATATCAAACAATAACCTCAATAAAAACAGCAATTTGTGTCTGTACCCCCATTTTCTGTTACAATGCATCTGGTATGGATGGGTTTCTTTTTTTTTTCAATTGCTTCACCAATTGTTGTGAGCCCTTAACAGAACCACATGTTACGCACAGTACTTCACAATAACATTACTGTCGTGTCTGTCCACGTTGAGCTATACAACTATGTTCACAAAAAAACTGCTTACGTTTCTTGTTTGTGCTTTGACAGCCTATGGTTTAGCAGTCTAGAATTAAATAAACACACGTTTTAAAATGTTCTATCGAGCATAATGGAAAAGGTAAAAGTGCAGCCCTGCGATTACTTGCTCACACTACTGCTTGCGGATGAGCATCCACTAAAGAGGGCTTTTAGAAAGCTTGTCTACAAGGTATTTTTGGCCTTTTCTTTCACACTGGCCATACGCCTTCGAAAAGGGCATGTTTTTTTTTATATTTGTCTTTTATAGAATCTGATTTACAAATGCTTGTCGTCGCTTCGAAAATGATGTCCACAGTTATTATAAAATATTTAAACAAAAACTATTAAATGTTTTACCAGGTAAGGCCCACTGAGCTATATAGCTCTTTTTCATAAACGACCTGGCCACAAATGATAGCTCAATGAAATGGCTTATCATGTGGAAATGTATTGCAGCCAAATACTCTAAATGGATGTTTCTAGATGTGAAGGGGAAAGCCAGAAGTCCCAGAGAAACATGTCCACTACCACAGGGAGAATATGCAAACTCCAAATATACAGACGTCAGGGTTGGCGTTAAACCCACGACTTCCTGTATACCAGGCGAGATAGTTAACATCTCGAGATGGAGGGATGAGAGCATTACATGTGCAGGAGTGAGATGGGTTGTTTCATGAGAGATGACATTAGTATGAGGAGACTCCATCCAGCAGTGGATAGAACAGGGCTGATTACGTTGATAATAACATGTAGCTGGAAGTACTGTAGTATATAATGCATACGGTACTTGAAAAATGTTGTTTGCATTTATATTTGCAATATCTGATTGGTATTGCAATTTTAATAGCTCTTGATTTTTATTAAATAATTAATGGTAGTACGATTTGCAGCATAAAATAAAAATAAGTATAACCAGTAAAAACAAAGTTTTTCACTATAAATCCTTTATATGCGTGGCGGCTAGAGTCCTCTCGTCCTCTGGCTTGAGATGGCTGTCACCTATGGGTCAGATGATTGCATTGCACCATTAAGCAATTGGTAATTAAATATAATATTTTTGTCCTAAAAAGTGTAAAATTTTGGAAAAAAATTTTCACAAACATTAATTGTCACGCACAACGAGTCTGTGTGCAAAATGTCAGCTCGATTGGATCACGGGAAGTGGGTTAAAAAACGACTGAAAGATTTGCACGGTCGTAAGCGCGCAAGCAAGCAAGCAAGCGAACTTAATATAAAGGATTTAAAAAGTATCCTTCCCATTGATTTTGTTTTACCTGGAGCAGTTGGAACAGCGTCCATGATTCCTAAATCTGTCCACCTTTGTCCACCCAGCAGTATAAATGGGTACACAAGATAGTCGATTGCCAGGTCGGGTGTGGTGGGGTAAAGTGTGGGTACTCAACCTCTTCATGGACGCCTGGCCAGCATTGAAGAGGAGGCCCAAATACGATCTAGAAAGGCTCTCTGGAGGTCCCTCTAGTGGAAAACCCTTCTGCCAGCAGTGGCCTGAGCATGCAATTGCAGGGCTTCACCTTTATTTTTGACCTTTTGTACAGGTGCAGATGAGTCATGATTATCTATCTGTTTACGTTCACTCAGGGTCATGGCAAAAAGGCAAGAGGTGCAAGTGCAGGAGGACAAGCAAAGTCACAGCACCCTCCTCCGGAGTTCGCGAAGGAGATTCGAGCTTGGGCCGAGAGGATCCAGAAACGCATTGAAAAACGCAAGTTCAAGCTCAAGTTGGACTTCTCTGCGTTTAAGAAACTCTTCCGTAGACGCAAGAAAAAGAAGAATGCCGCTAAAGCTGATCAGTCCACTTTTGCGACACAAACTGCAGACGGTGGTGCATCAACGGGCGAAGACTTGGAAAGCAGGGAAGAAAGGAGGCATGCAATGGAATTGTTCGAAAAGTTGTTGAGAGACCTCATGAAAGGGATGTCCATGGAGGACCTTAGATATACCAGCACAGGCTCGCTGTGCAGCAGACGTTTCTCCGGCGATACACTGAAATCAAATCCTGGCGTGGCGACCTTGCAGAGGGATGTAGCAACAAGCAGCGGCTCTGTGTCTACTCCTGCCTCGCAGCAATCCACCATGAGCCGTACGATGGACCCACGGTCCATGCAGAGGGCTGCCCTCACCTACCTTCTCATGAAGCTCTCCCATGAAACGAACTCCAACGGCGGCATGTCCGACTCCACGGAAGCAATCGGCGATGCTCGTTCCGCTGAACTTTCCCAGAGCGCGTTGGGCATGAAAGCCAATGACGATTTGGAAAGGTGGTGCTGGGAGTTTTTGAGGTCCGAAGGAGACGTTTTAGATTCTTCAGAATCTGATGACGGGTCGGAAGATGAGTGCGGGACCAGTGGGGATGTGTCGCGTCTCTCAGGTGGAACGGGCAAACTCTCGCCACGGGGAATGAGGACCAGAATCTGAGACGCCACTCTTGCTCTGATGTGGCTGGCTTTAAGTTAACAAAGATGAAAGGCAAACAGCATCTTACACGTGGGGAAATGATTAACTCCAAGTATTCCAGCTTACAGGAATTTCCGCATGATGAATTAGGTACTGGTATACATTTATTGCATTTTTTTTTGTCATTTGTAAAACATTTTACCATGATATTTCCTCGTATACGTGTACATTCATATATATATATATAGCAGAATAATAATAACACAACCATTATAAATGGTTACCCAATATTGTTTCTGTGTGTATGTCTGTCTTTGTGTAAGTAGATTACAGGGAAGAGGAGCTCAAGTCTTCAGGACAATCTAAATTCCTAACACTGGCAAGCAGTGCCTTGCGTGACCCTGTGGATGACACTGGCACTGCTGGCCATAGCAACTGCACTGCTAACGGACAGGAAGTAGATGCACATCGAATCTCCGGTAAAAAAATAAACGAAAGTGCCGACGAACAAAACAACCACAGTGGTAAGTTTGCACTCGTTGATATACGGACAGATTGCATCGCGTAAGGGATGCTCTCGTCGTGTAATAGTTAGTACACCAGACCTGCAAGTTAGAGGCCACGCTGTTCAATCTCCTGGTGCGGCAGGAGAAATGATGATGTAAGTTTATCACATCTCCCCACTGCCTCTTTCCACCCAGCAGTATAAATGGGACCCAGCACAGTCACGATTGGTGGGGTAAAGTGTGAGTACTCACACCTCTTCCAAGATGTTTATGCAGTGTGCAAGAGTGGGCCAAATACCCTCCAGATGGTCTCTCTAGAGCTTATTTTAGTGGAGATCCCTTTCCCCAGCAATTGCAGGCCTGCATCTTTACCTTATTTTCTGATCGAACATTACGTAACTTTTTTTTTATCCACATAAAACAAGCACAACTTTAGCATTGCTCTGCCAAAAAAATACCAATATTGTAAGCAAAGCGTAATCGCAGTACATATTTTGTGGATATGGAAATCAAATTAATGGCATGCTGTGCAGCTCATTATTGAAGATTGCGTTTTAATTGATCACTTTGTGCAGAATTGCCTGCGATGCCTGCGCCAAAAGTGGAGCTCCTCCGAATGCACGGGGAAGTTTCGGATTCCCATCCCAGCCGCGGCAGCGGCTCCGGCTCCGGCTCCAGGGTTTTTGATTTTCTCAGCAGGCGCCGTCCTCACCACAGGAATCAAAGCCATAAAGTAACGGGTGGTGCTAATAATAACGGCACCAAAGGGCACATTGAAGCAGACAGTCGTGAAGCCCACACGATTGGAGAGACAGGTAACACATTATAATAAGCGTTGTTTTATTTGACATGACCAGAGACCTTTTTTCCTGAGGAGCACGTGTGACAAATAATGGCTGCATTGTTCACCTGTTATTATTATTATTATTATTTGTTTTGGCCATGGCTTCCTTCGTGAAAATGAGGATTGTCATATAAACAAGAAATCACTGTTTGCCTTGACATGAGAACATTTTTGGATTGTATGGTAGGGTAGTGATTGTCACCGCTACTTATTAATTCGAATGGCAAGGTAAATGCTAAACCCCTGCGATTACTATTCTCCTGGACACCTTGGCTACTTGGCATGGGCTGCTGTGGCTACTTTCCCTTGCTAACTTCAAAACTGTGCCCACGGAGCTCTGGTGTTGTAGTGTACAATGAAAATGCAGCAGTGTAACGCGGGGCTTAAATTCATCGGGAGCTGCCCAGGGCTGAGCTCTGAAAAATATCGCCCCCGCCCTGCTGCTGAGCAGGGATCCACAGTGTTGGTGGACCCGGGAAGTATCTCACGAGAAAGGATGTGACAATGTATTGATGTGGTCGAGAATAACATAATTTTTGGTATTAAATGGAGTCTGAAAACTATGTACTGCATTTTATTTTCTGCAGGAGCTGATGGGGACATATTCACCGAAGTAAACGAAACGCTGCCAAGCAGCGGAAAATACAATACGACTGGAGGCAAACGTACAGAGTTTACTCAAGAAAGCACAGACGAGCCAGTAATGGCCTGTCAAAACAAAGCAAATGATGGTGGGAACTTATCTGACGAACAACATGGCAGCAGCAGTGTTCTTGAAACTGGCGAAGAGTACAGTGGGACGAATGCGAGTTCTCGGACACATTTTATTAACAATGGGAATGGCCATTTTGACAACGATGTGGATGTTGACAGCGAGAGCTTATCTGTTGGAGATGGATATGTTTCGGTGCAGGAAGGATCAGTTATTGATTCGAGCGGTGAACATCAACTTTCTTTAAGTGATGGCGAGTCTCCAAACGGCAGCAAAATTGTCTGTCATACGACCAACATTCGGGCCGAGATGCACAACAACAGCCACAGCGTTGAACGTGAACGGCATTTTTCGTCCACCGAAAATCTTGCAAACAAAACACACGCACACGATCAATCTAATGTTCAACATCTACTTAATTCAGAGGCATCTACCATCACCAAATATTCCCAATCTTCTGAATTTTGTCCATCGGAAAATGACTTACTAATTTCAAGCTCTAGGGATTCCCAAAGCGATGTGGTGGATTTTACAACTCAAAATATGGAAAAAGAATTAAAGACAGGCATTGCGATTGAAGAAAACAATCATAGATCAGATGCTGAAGGACGCGTGCATTGCAAGACTAAAAATGCTTTTTCATATTTGGACAAGCAATCTTATACCGATAGCGGTTTTAAAGATATACGAAATAGTATAAACATTGAGCATACCTCGACAGAAGAAATAGCAAGCGTGGATAATTATGGACATGGTGAGCAACCAACAGCCTCTCATGTGGAAGACATCCAGCAAGAGCACAATCAGGATGATCTAGCAACCGGTGAAAGACATCGAACGTATGATCATCGAGGACGCCCTGTTGACACGACTCTGTCAGGGGTGCAGTCCCGACATGAATCGACATTCAACGTGATCGTTGAAACAAGGGGACATGAAAGCGATGCCTTTGTGCCACCGGTGGCTGGTCCAGCACATGCCGGTGAGAACAAACTGGACGGGTGCAGGAGTCCAAACGGCTCTGAAAACAGCGAGGGCGCACTGTCGGAAACAGAGTCGGTGGCTTACGGCACCGTCACGTCTGAAGAAAGACGGTGGGAGGCAGGGGTCTCGGCTGTTCAACCGGGAGAGGAAAGGTTTGGGCCTCCGTCAGGCAGCCGGCCCGGTCTGTACGCCAAGACAGAGCCACTCTGCCGGTTAACAGGAGAGGCAGCCCACAGCTCCCGCACCTCAGAGGAGTCTGAGAGCGAAGAGAGCCTGTTTTCAGATCACGGCGAGCAAAGCTCGGCAGCTGTTGCACAGGTTGGCATTTACAAATGTTGTGTGTGCACATAGTCACTTTAAGATGTTTTCTTGTTCATGTTGTTGTTTTTTGTTTGTTGCGGTTGCACCCGATTCAAGAGCCGAATGGCTCACAGGGCTATACCTAATAAATGAACTTGGAACTTTGTATTGGTTATTAATGGGGGAAGCAAATGGAGCTCGCAGGATTTTGTGTGTCTACACAGATCACGGGGCATGTGGCTGCTGTTTGAAAGAAATGGCTTTGCGAGCCTTCTGTATGAGAAAAAAAAACACACAAACGACAACACATCTTGGCCCTTGCTTGTTTTGGCAGCATGAATCTTAGAATATATATTTTTTATTATTTACTTTCATAGCCTATGATGTGTTTAGAAGATAGCAAAACAGGTTTGTCATGTAGGACTGTATCAAGATTTATTTGAATTTAGGGGAAAGAAATAAACTTTGCTTTTCTTCCCTAAAGCAATTTAAGTTTTCACTTTGATAGCTTGCTATTTTATTGCATTTAGCACAACGAAGACAAACAAATCTAAATATTTGGAAAGCAATAAGAAATACAGTTAAAGGATTAAAACTCATTTTAAAACTGTGACAACTAGAAAAAAATAAATTTGAAATTCATTCTTGTAGTTTGCCCAACTACTTTCGCTAAATTTATGAGCGATTAAAATACATCCCACACACACCATGACGGTGTCCACGTGGTTCAAAAAGTCAGAGCAGCGATGTGATACTACGAAGAACATAGCCTCCAGTCTGGGTTTTAGCCAACTTAAATAAAATCTTATTTTCCACTGCAATCAGTTGATGACCTAAGCCTTGTCACCCGAGATTAACGGACTACAATCATATAGGATGTGGTTTTTCACGTAATTTCCCGACATTCTAGCACTAAGAATTTCTAGTATGACTTTTGTTGCCATGCAACAAACAACAATATCAAAGCACACTCTGTGGTAAAACGCGCCGTATGTTGTTTGAAAATAAAAAGGTCGCTTGGAGAGTAGTTACGTGAAGATGCCTTGAGCAGTCATTGACTTTCGATTTAAAGCTTTCGTGACTGCAGGGATTCATCTTCTTGGTTCTTTCGGTAAAGTCACGTAGAAGGAAAATAATAAAATAATAAAAATAAAACATAATAAAATTATTCTCACGACGTTTCGGCCACAACGCAAGCAGCCGTCTTCAGGTGGAGAACAGGTCTTCAGACTCTGCCTTCTCGACAGACCTGTTCTCCACCTGAAGACGGCTGCTTGCGTTGTGGCCGAAACGTCGTGAAAATTATTTTATTATGTTTTATTTTATTATTTTATTATTTTCCTTCTACGTGACTTTACCGACAGCCATTGACTGACGTTTTGGTTTACGCTGCTCTGTCAGATTTCCAAATGGATTGTTGGTCTCATGACAGGAACCACAATTGGAGGGAAAATGGATGCAATATTTTACACGTATATTGTCTAAGCACGGCCAATATAGAAGAATTCATTTTATTTTCAAACATTACTTTATTTATTTTTGCTTCTTTGAAACATATCAGTTGATCTCAAGCAGGGCTTTGTGATTATCTCAAAATCACAAAGCCCTGCCTTCAAACCATTTATGTGAAAGTGATTCATAGCATGCAACATGCGTTCTAACGAAGTAAAAAAAAAACATTAAATGTTTTTGGCTTCAACTCTGTAGCCAAGGTGGACATTATTTTTAATAGGCAAGCGTTTTCGTTTTGTTAATCTCAGTGGACGCTTTGTTTATTCGCAACGCTACATAAATGTATTTGTTTATTTTCGCAGGGTTGTCTTCATGAGAGCAAAGCGCTCCGCGTGGTGGATTGGGGCACACAAACAGGTGCGGTGCCGCCGATACAGAACTAAACAAAAACAAACAAATTGCACGGACAAAAGGTTATTCGAAAAATATCTCGTGATTATGAACTCTCTCGCTCTAACCACTTTAAAATACATATTTTGTCAGCGCGTGTGTTGTGCTGTTTTGATTTCTGTTTTGCAATTTGTAGATTCTGTTTCCTAAGATGTGCTTGAAATTTATGTAGGTATTAAACGCAAAATGCGATGCATTGTACAATTTTAAGTGTTTAATGGAACACTGATTTTTCTGGTATACAGTTGTATTTTACATTAAATACAAGTCTGAATGTGTGAGAGTTCAATAATTCATTGCACATTTACACATGTAAGTGGTGGTATCTTTAACTTATATAACAGTTGTATTTATGCAGTGTGTAAATGCTCTGCTAAGTTCCTGTACAGAGTAATTCACAGCAAACTAAATCTTAAAATCAAACAGAAAATAAATGATTTTGCAATTTGTACAACAGTGTGATTCTCTGCGCACTATGCCAATCACTAAAGCTTCCATGCATTGTCAATTGAATTGCTATCATGGCCCAATACTTGTCATTGTCATAGTATGAACAAGTAATACATTCATTGGTGTGATTGGCTAATACTTGAATTGTATGATGACGAGAGCTTGATTGCTATCACTAATTATACGATATTCTAATGTATTCCGATTTTTCCATTTAACTATTTAAACGTGTTTTTTTACGCTTTATATGGTTGTAAGAGTTTATGCATTAGCACTGTCCATGCCACAACAACTCTTGTAAGTTTTATTCAATAAGAACAAACCTTTTAGTATTAAGCTGTGTTCCTATTGGACACTTACATTATAGAAAACCGGCCAAATGAATCAAAGACTTTCCCTTCTGGGTAAAAACTCCTTTTGGAAATCTGCTACAGAATCCATGCGTTTGCATTCTTTTTCTTCCTTGTCTTCCTCTCTCAGCAAGCGACCCAGATAGCGTGAGCCCCGGTGCACAAAGTGCACTCAGCACCGATGACGGTGGCCTTTTCCAAGTGTCCCCCCCGGAGTCTGAACACTGGGAGACGCTGGGCCCCATGAAGACGGCTGCTTCCTCTGCGTCAACACAGACCATTTGGCTGAGCCACGCAGAGTGCCAGACCCACCATGGAGAGGATTTGCCTGGAGCCACGGGGGAGACTGCTGCATCTGGCAGCAGGAGCAGTAATCTTGGCCGTAAGTGTGTGCTGAATTTAGATTTTCCGATGCACATATTTTGTGGGCTGGTAAAGTAAAAAAAAACAATGCTTGATCGCTTGGTTGGTTTTGTACTGTGCACCTCCTCAGTGGTACTTTAATCTGTGAAGGTTAAAATGTATTTAGATCATCTTTTTAGACGTTGTAAAACTTGTCAAATATATATAAAATCCCTGAAGATTGCACTCATGTTCAAATCCAACACTATTTGTAATTGGTGCAAAAAGCCATCACCAAAGGGTGTCCTGGGTGTATAATAGTGAACCTACTTCATTAGAATGGTAGTAAGTCTACAATTATAGTATTTTTTTTCCGAGTTACAGGGACAATAACTTCCTGCTAGTGACAAGTGTCACTAATACATAACAGCATTTCACTGTTATTGCTTCCAGGAGGTGTTTGCTGGTTCATTCCTGCTGACAGAGTGTCCAATATCCACGGGGACTTTACAGCTGACGGAGAACGGCTAAGTCATCCAAATGGGCCCATTCCCGCAAGGAAAAGGCGGCCCATTGGCCCGTTTCTGGTCATCTCCCCCAAGGTAAAAAAAGGACAAACCTCACACTTAACCCGTGAGGCCAGAGGGTTGGTTGGTATCACCTGGATGGACAAATGCTACCAGTATCCACCATGGGCAGAAAGCTGAGCTTGTGTACCGTCTGTTTTAGAGACACGCTTCATATTTATTTTCATATTCCAAACTTCAGATTATGCAGCTGTTCTATAGATGCATTTATCTATCTGTGTATCTGAGTCAATGGGTATCTACGCAAGTAATGGTGCTGTGTAGGAACAGCTGCCACTGTGGGTCCCTTTGGCTCAGCTGCAGCAGGGCAATGAAATGGTCGAGATGTGATGTAACGTGTTTTGGGTTGCTGAGGCATTTTACGTGCCCGACACATGTAAATCCGTATCTTTACGTTTCACATCACATTGCCGTGTTCCAAAAATATATTCTTTATCACATCTATTACATACACAAAACGTTTGTTCTTATATATATTTAAAAGCTACTAAAGTGACCCTGCTAGCATACGATCTAGAGATTTAAAAAAATCAATAAAATAATTGTGGGCATTTTCCACCCTGGGTGGTACAGGTATGCACCTTTTTGTGTCAATGGCTCAAGTACCAACTATTACAAGCCTTTAAATGGATGAGCAAACAAGAATTGCTGGCGCGGCTTAACACAACGGGGACAGCAGTGCATCACATCAATCTGCTTAAGCAAGCGACGGCCTCATTATCCTCCCCAACTCTCCCACGCTGTGCTGCTTCCCAGCCCCCTAACGTTTCTCAGCCTGGCGGTAGTGGAGAGACGCACGCACTGAGGTGGGGGGCCTCGGCAGCTTTGTGCACTTCCACGCACCGTGTGTGCGCGCCAGGCTGCGTAAGCCCGCAGCACTCTGGACAGATCTTTTTGTTGATGCCCCAGAGCTGGAGACGAAAATATCTTTAAAAAACTCGTCCACCACTCCAGCCGCAACGAAGGCACACGTATCCAAAGAGTTAAATCATCTCAGTGCCAGGCGTAAGGAGCGGCTGTAAATGTGTGCTTTGTATTTTAAAAAATCACACGTGATAATGTATAAACCGCCATTGCTCTCCTGAAAAATATAGACTACAGTATGCAAATTGGAGGCACTGTTCGTATTTGGATATATTCTGCACTGTACAACGTCAAGCCAGTTGTCTCCCTGCTCAGACAATTAATCAGTGGTGTTCATCTCTACTGGCAGCTCTTAGCCATTGGGGTAAATTCCACATTCATATGGCAGGGGTAATGACACCATTGAAAACTATTAAGAAATTAATATGGGTTTGGGCAGGACAAGTTCCTAGATGAGATGATGGACGATGTAATAATAGTGGCATCCAGGGAATGCAATGTGTCTGAGGGAGACGCGGAGATGGAGTGATGAAAGCAGTTCATGAGCAGGTGCTAGGTGGCTTGTTACATTGCAGGAGCTGTGGAATTGGTGGCAGTTTTGTGGATACGTTTATCTAGTGGTGGGTTGGCAATGGTGGATAACAATGATGATGACAAGGGCCAGCCGATCCAAAGGATGACAGACCACTGTTGACTAGTCGCAAAGTGGCACCACTTAATGTATTTACTTTATAGAGTTTGGGGGAGGGGACATGATAGACTAAGTTGACCCGTGACCAGAATTTAAACTCGCAACCTTCCAATGGTGCATTGATTAATGTATCGGCCACCTGGTCTGATGCAGCATTGCTATTGTTATGGGAGTAGAAATAATCAATGGCTGTGAAATAGAAGTTGATTCCAGAAGATGTAATGCGCCTGAGCTGCGCATGAGAGGGATATGGTTGACTTGCACAAATGTACTTTGGAGAAATTAACAAAATGGGTTGACCACGATAAGATTAAAATAAATTGCTCTAAAACGGCACTGGAATTTGTTAATAGGTGATGTGATACGTTGGCATGCTGCCGTGGTGTCATGGTTGGCATATAGGACTTGCAATCCAGAGGTTGCCCGTTTTATTTGATCTCTCGCTGTGGCAGTTAAAACATTGGCGCAACTCCATTAAACCCCCCCTCCCCACAACCCACCTCGGTTCACCTAACACTATATACAATTGGGGCCATCCATTGAGTAGGTACGCAAAAATCTGTCAACTTGACCCCTCCCCCCTCCCTGTACGCACGTGGACTTTTTACACCCCTCCCGCCCACCTGCGTACATACGCCTGACGCCTCCCCCCCCCCCCCCCCAATCCTATAGAACGGCCGATATTTAATCCAAGCAGAAATGATCAAGGACAATTAATATTAACGTGTTTAAGCAAACAGACTATGTAACTCATTTGAAAGCCAAATTATTATCGAGGCTTCACCACCCCCCCCTCCCCCGTTTCCTATGCGCACGTACATTGTCAGTAGACCCCCCATACGCAAGCGTACGCTTTTGGGTTAACCCCCACTCCCCCCTCCATGTGTACGTACTAAATGGATGGCCCCATATTCCACAGTGAGTCGATTATCAGATCACACGCGGTGGGGTAAACCGTGAGTACCCCCCCACCTCCTTCAAGACGTCCGGTCAGCGGACGTGAATAGCGGTCCCAAATACACCCTCTGGGTGGCGGCTCTCTACAGAGATCCCTTAAGCGGGAGGCCCTTCCGGCAGCAGTGCCACGAGCGAGTTATTTCAGGGCTGCGCCTTTTGCCCGGCTTGTTATCCGCCACGCAGGAAGCGCTGGAGTTGCGGCGGCCGGACTTCATCTCCCGCTCCAACGAGCGGCAGCGCTGGGTGTCGCACCTGGCTGAGGAGAGGCAGACTGAGAAGGTCATCCTGCGCGTGCAGCAGCAGCAACGGTGGCTGCAGCAGCAGCAGAAGCAGATCCAGCGCCACGGCCGTCTCACAGGCAGGAGACGCACGCAAACCGATATTGGTTGAGCGCCCGAAACAAATTGCTCGCGGGCGATGCCGAATACTCCTTTAATCAGCGCACAGCGACGGAGTCGTGATAACCTGAAAATGTCAAACTGGTGCGATGGGCACGAATATGTTGCGCGTTAAGTCGCGTTTGGCCGCCCGTGTTATTTTCCCGTGATAGTCTAATGCTGCAGAAGAAAATGTTAATCCCAAATGGTATGTGACCTCCATTTCCGTCACCCAAATTGACTCGGTAAACAAAATACTGGCCTCTTGGTCTTGTGTTCTGGCAATTGTGTGCGGTAAAAAGCTGTCCGTAAAAAGAAACGAGTATTGCCTGCGTCGCTTCAATGGCTGATGCATGCACAGGTGTAGGTACTGATTGCATAGCTACATATTTTCTAGGAGTCAATCTTTTTTGGTTCTCACCTTGAGCCTAAATCTGCATCTGGTAATGTATACCATGCGCCATGTAATGCAATGTTGGTTTATTTGTTGCTGTAAACTGCACCGTTGAAGCTTAAAACGCTTAATTCGTATCCACATTCTAAAGGGTCTAAATAGCCTAAAAGGTAACCTGGTGGTCTATACACTTTCACACAAAATAACGAATACAGTACCACTTTAAACATGGGAGTTTCATCATGTGTGACTGAACACAACATTTTAAATCGCTAGCAACATTAATTGATATGTGTGTAATTAGATGTCCGATTAAAGTGTATACCGTACTATTTTATTTTTAGATCATATCACTGCACGGCAAAGGAAATATCATCCTGCTGAAGAAACTGCACATCCCAGAAAGTACGAATTAGCTTATGAATGTAATAATCGTGTTAATGTGAGTATTGCAATTGAGGGGTAGTTTTAGAAATGTGTTTTTAAATCACAATGGACATTAATGGCAGTCATCACAGTGTAAATGCAGGCACAGATGACACTATCATTCATGACACTAAGCTGAGGGTGATAAATGATCAGCAGCAGAAGCAGCCATGTTCTACCCACTGCAGGATTAAGGCCTCCCTATATTGATACCATCCATTACCATCTCACACTTGCTATGCCACAATCCGTCTTACTCCTGCATATGAACTGACCTCATCGCTTGAAGTATTTGATGGTCATCCTCTCAGAGGTGTTTCCTCTTTGGCTGACACTTTATTCACCAACCTCATTCATTGGCTATCATCCACTCCAGGAATGTGTCCGACCAAACCCCGTCTGACTTTTCTCAGCGTGGGCTTTCGTGACCAATACTATGCATAAGGTTTGTTTGGCATTAGATTGTGTAAATGTGTTCATAAACCCACCTCCACCCAACACTGCCAATTCGTAAGCTTTGTCATGTGAAAATTACGACATCACCTTACTCTCTTTAAGACTGGAAGCAGGAAGACTTCTTCACAATTGTGGTAATAGCCTGGTGAAGCTGGTTGTAATCACTAGCGAAACGTCGTACTCAAATTGTAAATGTTGTGGGCTTACTCTCCAAAGTGCAGGTGTGCTGAACTAGTAACGAATTGGCACGTTTTGTTCACGTGACAAACCTTACTAATTGGCTGTGTCGGGTGGAGGTGGGTTTACGACACATTTACATTTGTGCGATATAACCCAAAGAACGTTATTATGAACGACCCTAATTTGCATTTGCCCTCCGATCCATGTATCCCTCTTTCCGGCTGTGTATTATTCCAAGCATGCAGACATACATTATTCATTTTATTCCTTTCAGCTGTTGTTCCATTTCCCTTGTCAATATCCATGTTATTTTGATCCACATGCCATCGCAGCTAATACGCACTCAATTGAACTGCAAATGCCAAAAACAACAGAACGTGTTTACCTTTAGCAATAATTGAAGGCAGGTTGAGATTAAAACCATGACGGAGAGGCGAGCTGTGACAGCAGGTTGGATTGCTTTGGTAAAACTGAACGTAATGGTCATAATCTTTACTTGGACCGGAGGAATAACACGGTTTAACACATTTTTTTTTTCTGGGTAGTAAGTGTTATTTCCTAATAGCTTATGCCTCAAAAGTACAGAAAATGGCTATTATTCTATTCCCCACAAATGTTATTTCTTTTATTTATTATTTATTCCCCACAAACTTTGCTTTTGTCACCAGGACAGTGATATTTTTAAATGTACCTATTTTCCAGAACATTCCAGATAGATTCAGTGCTGAGTAAACTTGGAGTAATTTATAGAGCATTCTAGAACTTGCCAGTAATATAAATATATAGATATATATAGGAAATTTGTGAATATGTAAGTCTGTTCGAAATGTTTAGCATACTTCCCGACATGCAACAAACTTGAAGTTTGGCATGTGGGTAGTTTCCAGACTGTACACCTGTGACGTCACATCTGTGACGTCACATGCGGAAGCGTTACACAGTGTGCCTGCAAATGTGTTGCAGGTCTAAGGCGTTCTTCGCACAGCATTGGTCCGTTTACTGCCGTACGCACCCTGAAAGTTGTGTGTGTCTGCAGCAAGCGCGTGTATGTGTACCTATGGACGCGCGCGCATGTGCTTGTGGGGGGAGCTGTAGTGTAGTGGTTAGCGCGCTGCGCTACGAACCTGGCGACCCAAGTTTGATTCGCGCTCACAGCCACCACCGGTGACGATTATTTGAACCGGTCCTGGGCCTCCCCTAGGTTGACTCAGTCTCAACGAGTAACTGGTGTGGTGTGTGAACATTGCCAATAGGGAGACAAAGGCGGCCGGGCGTGGTGAATCCAAGTCCCGGGCGAAGCCGGGTAGTAAAGCTAGTTGATACATGAATACAGGGGCCTTAAGCCCACCAGTTCAGTTTAGTTCCAGCTGTCTAAGTGGATACATTTCTGCATTTTTCTGAGATGGCATTAAGAGGCTGCAAGCATCCGGCAGACGCATTTTGCTATGTCTGCGGCCAATTTATCAAGACAAAAGCGAAAAAGTACTCTGTGGAAGCATCTGCTAAGATGTGTGAGGCCTACAAGGCATATTGCTGCATGCCTGTCGGGGATCAACACAAACCCTGGGCACCTCATTTCACCTGCGAGCAATGCAAACAAACTCTGGAAGGTAAGATGGACAATTGTTGCCCGGAATTTAATGTTATAAAATTTGTACAAAAAATTGTAAATTGTAAAAGTTTTTAATTTTAAAATGTTTTACAATTGTCAATGTTATTGAAAAAATATAGCTATATGAAAAATGTTGCGAGAATCTCTTACACATTAGTCATGGGTGAAATAAATGTATTTTTGTAGGATGGTACAGAGGGGAAAAGAGAGCCATGAAGTTCTCTATCCCAAAAATTTGGTGGGAACCCACTGACCACTCAAGCAACTGCTACTTCTGCATTGTGGACCCTTCCAAACGTCGGACTGGCAATAATGCACCTGCTATCACGTATCTGGACCTTCCTTCATCCATCGCCCCGGTGCCACATTGCCATGAGCTCCCCGTACCCACTCCTCTGGAGAGAGAGCAGCCGTCTTTAGAAGAGAACAGCAAGTCAGAGAGCGAGGGAGACGTTGTAGATCCAGATGATAATTTTAGAGGTGGAACTGAGGAGAGAAACCCAAACTACTCCAACCCAAAAAACCTCAACGACTTGATCAGAGATATTGGTCTCACCAAGATGCACTACCACAGGCGGGACTGGCCACAGCGGACTGAGTTCTCTGTGGGGAGAAACAATGTCAAGTGGGAGCCACTTGTGGACCCCCGGAAGGTGCTGATGCCACCACTGCACATCAAGTTGGGCCTTATGAAGCAATTTGTCAGAGCTGTAGATAAGGAGTCGTCAGCCTTCAAGTACCCTCAAGACTTCTTCCCTAAGCTGTCTGAGCCAAAGGTCAAAGTCGGTGTCTTCGTCGGACCACAGATTAAAGAAGATCCTGGAGTGCAATGAATTCCCCTAGAAGCTCACTAGTAAGGAGCAAGTGGCTTGGGACAGCTTTGTCGCAGTGGTTCGTGGCTTCCTGGGCAATCACAAGGTCGAAAACTATGTGGAGCTGGTTGAGACTCTGGTGAAGAACTACGGCACAATGGGCAATAGGATGTTCCTCAAAGTCCATATCCTTGATGCTCATCTTGATACATTCAAGAAGAACATGGAAGCGTACTCGGAGGAGCAAGGCGAGCGCTTCCATCAGGATATACTGGACTTTGAATGCCGCTACCAAGGACAGTATAACGAGAGCATGATGGGAGACTACATTTGGGGGGTGATTCGTGAAAGTGATTTACAGTATAATCGTAAATCTCGAAAAACTACTCACTTCTAAATATTTTTTAGTAATTTTTTTTTATTACTTTAGTACAAATACATGTTCATTTTGATTCATATGTTGTTTATTTCTAACTTTGTGAACGATAAGAAAGAAATTCGCCAGTTTTCTCATTTAAAATAGGTACATTTCAAAATATCAATGTTCTGATCACAAAAGCAAAGTTTGTGGGGAACTATAGCCATATTCTATACTTTTTAAACATATGCAATTAGGACATAACACTTACTACCCAGGAACAAAAATTGTGTTACATTGTGTAATGAAAGGAATGTACCAACGTACCTAAAACAGAGGGTGATACATATGACACAAATGAAGATTAGGCAGGCTTAGACGTTAGACATGCAAAGCAGATATTTAACTCGAAACAAAATGAACTGCCTATAAAAAAAATATGTGCTTAATTCCATCATTAATGCTGAGCAACTGACATATGTGTTTGGGTCATTTTTCATACGCGTATATACAGTATAGCGGAGTTGCCCAAAATGGAAACTTCACAATTTCATTGGAGCTTTTGAAATGATAAAGGAAATAAAGGTGCAGCCCTGCAATTTATTTTCTCATGCCACTGCTGGTGGAAGAGCCTCCACTTGTGGGATCTCTTCGACAGCCCCTCCCTGGAGAGTATTTGCCCTTTACAGTACACTTCTATGCTGGCGAGACTTGGAAGATAAAGGAATGCCCACAATTTATCCTTCACACAAAAGACGTGTCGATCAACCAACTCCGGCGTTACCCATTCGTACTGTTTGAGTGGATAGAGGTAGGGATAATTTAAATAACTTGCTCATTGTTACAACCATTACACCACGACAGCGTGCCCTGAATTTTTGAAAAGTTCAGCTTTGATTAAAAATGGACACCATGTCGCACCTAGTTTCAGATATACAGCCGGGAAATTAATGAATTATACCGAGAAAGCAACAATGTCTTGGCCGACCACTATTGCTACATTTTCTCATTTTAATATGAATCGCATGATGTTGAAGGACTCAAACCTCTTGACGTGGCTTTCTTTGTGTGGTGGAAACATATTGAATGCCTAAAAGCATTTCTGATCTAAAGGCCATATGTTTATTTGTTACACTTGCTCCCCTGGAAATATTGCGCTTCCATTGCTCAGCATATCGGTTTTGCACCCCTGAATTTCATAAATGCATTCCACTATCAACAACTTTGATGGTGGATACTGACCTTTTAAAAAATGCCACCAGGAGAAATACAAATCTTGGTACGATGTTTCATTTGAATTTGCTCTTTTGAGCAAATCACATTAATTCTATGCCAACTGTTTTACAGCGCATTGTACATTCACTGCAGAGTCAATGATGTTTACCAGAGATCCAATGAGCTGTGCACAGCATAATAAGTATGCTGACTTTCTTGAGGACCAGGCGCCATGGCTTTGGTTTTAGTATCGTAGAACGTATTAATGCAGGTACAAAACTGTATTTGTTCTGTATATGCCAACCAATATAAAGCTCGCATAATGGACAAAACAAAATCCGGCTCAAAAGGGATTAACGTTTGAGTTTGCTTACATAGATGGTTGTATGTATAAAGCTGCTCGGCACACGTTCCACGTACAACGTTAAAGAGTGTGGTTGCCCCGTCTTTTATCTTTTGCGTACACTATACTTGCAGCCCTTTTGTTAAGCCACTGCTGGGCAAGGCCTCTTCCTCGCGGCGTGTGAGGTTCAAAAAGTGGGTCATTTGACCCGGCGTCATCACGCTGGTCGGCATGGATTGGTGGAGACGGCGGGGAAGCATATATGTGGCAGTAAAGTAGAGTACAACAAATGCATTTGCTGTACATCTCCCGTTTATTAAGGTTTATCTACTGCATATATGCACGGCGGTGTCACCCATCCAAGCACTATCCAGACTGCTTATATTCTGAGCAAAGATGAGATCAGGTAATGCGATTGGGTGATGGGATGAGGTGATGGGATTAGGTGCATTCCAGGTGATTTTGGTCATGGGCATTTAAAGTAATTACTGCATTATAACCTGAATAACAGCTTAGAATATCTGCTCAGTATTGTACGCGGGCATGTGCCGAGGGTGTGTTGCGACCACTCGAGCGTTTTGTTCCAACCCAACAGCGACTTCTGTGTCTGTGTGCGCGCGCGCTTATTGTCCACGCAGAAAACACGAACAATTCCCTGATGTGAAAAGACGCAGGCAACCAGGGGAAAGGCCAAAGTCTCATCGCACTTCATGTAGTGAGCATGCAGATTTCGTGCCGAAGGTAATATTTTATTTTGCGTAACCTTGACTTCTGTGTTCGTCATCACGATCATCATCAGCCATGGTCAGTCTACTGCTGGATGAAGTCCTCCCAAAAATCGACCTAGCACCTGCACAGGAGCCGATTTCATCACTCCGTCTTCTTAATGGCCACTTCGTTGCTAGTTTTTGACCACCGACTGCCCAAGTCCACTTATTTTTCTTAACAGTTTGGATAACGTCATTAACCTGCCTATATTATATAGTCCATGTGTTCCTCTTCCTGACCCTCCAATATAATTGCAACCATTCCTCTTTGAGAACTTTTTGACATTTATTCAATGTTTTCCGTTCATGACCACGTTGCCGAACCATCGTAGCAGGCAGTACACATTGATTCAACATTTTATTCTGCAGGCACAAGCATGTGTGTGTTCATTTTTTTATTCACTCTGGTAATGTCGTTGTTGTCGTATAATTCAACTCATTGTTCGTTTTCTTCGTAGAAACTTGGTATCCAAACCTCGTGGGAGAAAAGGTGAAAACGACTGTTCACTCCAGAACTTCTAAGAACTTATTTTTTTATAAATTGATGTATTTTTTGTGATGCTGAATTATAGATATATTTTGTTGTAACTCAATTTTAGAACAAAAAATAAATAAATGTGAACAGACGTTTACTGTTTTATGAAACGCGAAAACATATTGCATATCGTAAAGTGCACTTTGGCAATACTCTGTACAATCATGCGAAACCTACAAGAATGGTTTCAATGTATTTTGCATTGTGTATATATAATGCGCTTTTTAAATAAGGGGTAACCCAAAGGTTTAAGACATATACAACTATAATTTGGTGTTTATAAACCACGTTTAAAACTTTGGCTTAATTCAGTAGGTGCATTGGTGTGATTACTGCATGTACAAACAAATACTCCAATGTGTATGTGAATTTATGTCTATTTCAAGGTTTAAAATGTATGTTTAAAGGACTCGTTAAGCTATCACTTGCTGCTGATTTTTGCCATGAGTAGGAATTAATATCGGGTTGCTGAGTTCAAAGAAAAGTGAGAAAACGTCTGTACCACCAATTCACCCATATAATACATGTTAAATAATTACACATTCCTAAACGCAGCTTTTATTTTTTATACATAATTCATACCAATACCATCAAATGTATTCTGTACATTTTATTTTGCTTGAAATGTTCAATAAGGTAAATGTACCAAGGTCTCATGCGTTGTATCGTGTGCTTGGATGGCTGCAGCAGTTATTCACTTCTCTGTGTTTGACAGATTGTTGTTTATATGAGATGCAGTAGTGGATATTGATCACCTACACCCTCAAGCGAAAATTGACTGAGATGAGCATGTTGCTGATAAAACCATATCGAGTATATCGGAACACAATAGATGGCACCCGGGGACCAGAGATAGATTTTTTAGTTCAGAGCTGTTTCATTTGAACACTGACTTTGATAACTGTTGGGCTCATGTGCAACCCATGCAAATATACATGCAGATAAAAAAATATATACAGGTACATCTCTGCAATTTCCTGCTCAGAACACTGCTGCTGAATGGCACCTCCACCAGAAGGAGCTCTAGAGGACCCCTTATACAGCATATGTTGGCCTACTCTTCCACGTTGGACATATGTCTAGGAAGAGGTGGTTATACTCACACTCTACCCCACCACACCCGACCTGCACCGATGGACTGTACCCATTTATAATGCCCGGTGGACAGAGTTGGAGATTCTTAAAAATTTTTTACCATTTTATCAGCTGCCACTCCCGGAGAGGAAACGGGCAACCTCTGCGTTTATACAGCCATATATTAATGAAGGTATTTTATCAATTCTGCTTTTTCTACAATACAGTAGTAACAATTTATCAGGGAACTGGTCATTATGTGTCAGTATTTGTTATTAAAGACACACCCCGCTTTTGCAATATTAGTGATTGCTGCCAAATCAAATACATTCCAGTGCATATGAGTGAGTCTATATTGCAAGAGCAAACACCATGAATATGGAAATTTGTAATGTGGAAAATTAAAACTAAACTGGCCATACCCAGGAGATTAATTAACAGATCAAAGGCATGTAACTAAATCCTTTCAGAATTACTTGTCACAAAAGAAATACATTCTTATAAACATTTTGTCGTATTCAGTCGTTACATTTTTGCAGTTCCATACATTTGGAGCAAATATGTGATATATGCAGAACAAAAAAATAATCTGTTTCCAAGATGAATTAAAGTAATTCCAGCAGAGGAAGTGTATAATTCCCACTGGATGCAGATAACCAGGAAATGTTCAATGTCATTTTATTTCTGTCCATTGAACATATAAATATCACAGGGTAGGCAGTCCGACTTTAGATTATATGATGCTCAGTTAGATATGAGGGAAATAATACTGAACTACATATGTTGCACTTGTTATCGAGGCTTATTTTTGCCTTCCTTAACTACAATTTGTATAACACGTTAACCTTTTAGCTTAATTAACCGAAAATAGTGTATATGTATATGTTTTAATACTGTTCTAAATAGTTGATGGAATCCCCTCACACTTATGCAATATATGCATACAATAATGAAGCTTGTAAATATATGTTATTACTGAATTACCATTACACTTACCTAACCTCTTGCCATATAGTCAAGTTTGATTTCTTCCAAATTTACCAATCTTCAATTAAACGCCTCCCTACTATTGAGTCATTGTGGTATTTTAGTTCTAATGAATTCACCAACCGTTGAAATAAATTGCTCCCCGTTTGAATTTTCCATTAATTATTCTCTCCCCACCACAGTTCCCAGTAATTTAAAGCAGGGATGTGTCACTCCATTAAATAAGGGCTCAAATTTACTAAAAAGCCTGTAATTTCACCAGCGCTCATTATGTTGAAAGTTTTGAAATCTACAGACTCTGATATAGCCCTCTGGTATATCGACACAGCACCATCAAGTAACATTAACCTATGTTTTGATTTAAAGTTTTCGTGACTGCAGGGAATCATATTCTTGGTTCTTTCTGTAAAGTTACGTAGAAGGGAAATAACAAAATAATAAAAATATAAAACAAAAACTAATTGTTATATATTTTTATTATTTTAGTTTTTCCCTTCTACGTGACTTTACCGAAAGAACCAAAAATATTAACCTATGTGTTGTGCTTAGCTCATGGCTAAGTGTTCCAATGGGACGAGGAAGGCAACATAAATTTCGATTTAAACCTTTCGTGACTGCAGGGATTCATCTTCACCTGAGGATGGCTGCTTGCGTTGTGGCCGAAACGTCGTGAGAATTATCTTATTATGTTTTATTATTTTATTATTTCCATTCTACGTGACTTTACCGAAAGAACCAAGAAGAAGGCAACATCATTTTTCAGTGGCCTTTTTTTTTGGCTCGTGGTGTTCACGCATGATGTCCGGCGCTTTGCACCATGTGGGAAATGTCACAACCGCAAGATTCTACGCGGTAATAATGATACTCATTTTCTGCCCTTTGTAATTCCATTGCTGGATGGAAGAGTTCCGACGCCATGTCGGTCATGGGGATTGCTTGATCACATCACGATTGGTGACCCAGAAAGTGCTCGGAACCAGTTAGGACATCACTAAACCGTTGCTGGTAATCGAACACGAGTCGCTGGCTTCATAACAAAGTGTGGCGCATTACTGTACCACCAATCATTCATTAAAATGTGTGTGGATCTGACAATGAATGCCGTTAAACGTTATACCTCAATAATTATCCTCAACAAATGTGGCCTCAACGTCTTATGCACATCTTAAACACCACGCAGTATTGTATACCAGTCCCATGCGTCGGAAGGAGGAAGGGGGGCTCAACTTCCCCCCTCCCGCTACACCTGCTGAAGACTGGGGGGCCCCCTTCTTAATTCCTCGGTACAATTAGGAGATGGACGTTCCACGGTTCCACCCTTTCCTCATCTACACGGGAATGGGGTTGAGAGCAAGAGTGCACGATAGACAAAAGCAGATGGTACCGTTTCTCATTCTGTTCAGCGTGTTTAAGATTTGTTTAAAGTGTGTTTAACCCTGACCGTCGCCCCCCACGCCCCCCTTTAAACAAAGTCACGCTACCTCAGTTGTTACACTCACACGCGCGTTTCCAAGCTTAGTCATAGAACTACTGTGCTTGAATTTATCGTCTACGGTGACATCAACATGAGTATTATCGTATTAAACTGTCTGAGTCTTTTTTTTATGCCACCAAGCTTTTGAAACCAGTTCGGTCAGCTTGTGTGACCTGCGTGGATCTTTCGGCTTTTTTTTTATCTTGCGAAAGATTTATGGTTTTGTAGTCACCAGGTGGTACATTAAGATGGACTCCGTGGCCCAACATTCTTCTCGCTACTTGACGGTCAAGAGCACTGGTGTGGAGAGATTCCGTAAAATTCGTCAATAATAATACGCGACGTTTCGGACAAAGGCCCTCATTGCTGAAAACGCCACCTCTTGTCTGTTTTCTTTTTAGGGCAGTGTCATTGTCATTGTGTGCCACTTGCAAACGTGGTATCACAAATATTACGTGTGTGGAAAAGAGTTAACGACTGCTGTATTCTGGCTTTTTGAGGTTATATTGATGTCAATCACTGTCCTATAATCAAACACCCTGTAATAAACATATCTGATTATGGGATGGGATAATTCACCCCTCCACCCCCACACACTCCCTGAGCACGAATTGTCATGATTTGGAGTCGCAATTCCATTCGAGAATTATTGGATTATTTGTGGCTCGATTTGCTGTTTCAACGTATTATTTCTGTCTCATTTCTACAGTTGCATGTGTTTCATTCGAATATCTGCAAAAATCAATGAAATGTAAGGAATTGAATTTCGCAAGCATAATTTGATGCATGCTTTGCAAGCATTATCGATATTTTAGTCGATTTTCCAAACGCATGCAAATTGCGCCATTCATGTAACGTCACTAAATTAAGAATCCATTGGGGAAATCTCGCAGAGGCAGCGTGCGGCGTGTGTTCGAGAATGAATGATGGGCTGAGGAGGGCATATTCTTAGGTTTTTTCGGTAAAGTCACGTAGAAGGGAAGTAATAAAATAATAAAAAATAAAATTATATTATATTATTTTATAATGTTTTATTTTTATTATTTTATTACTTCCCTTCTACGTGACTTAACCGAAAAAACCTAAGAATATGAATCCTTGCAGTCACGAAAGCTTCAAATCTAGAATGAGGAGGGCATGTTTCAGTTCTCCATAAAAATCAAGTGAATTTCGATTTAAAGCTATCGTGACTGCAGGGATTCATCTTCTTTGTTTTTTCGGTAAAGTCACGTAGAAGGGAAGTAATAAAATAATAAAAATAAAATTATATTATATTGTTTTATTATGTTTTATTTTAATTATTTTTTTACTTCCCTTCTACGTGACTTTACCGAAAAACCCAAGAAGAAAAATCCAGTGGCTTTAAAAAAAATATTTTTTCGCAGCAGAGGGCGCACTTCCACTTATGCTCTGCAAAGAGATTGTCGGATGACAGTCAAACCCGATATTTTAAAAATCCCAGTGATAGGGCTTAGGATATTGAGTGCAACATTACGTAACACAATCGGGTTTTTATCTCTGTGCAAGTCATTGTTTTCTGAGCTGAGATTTGAAACGATGACCCGCTCTGCATGTCACAAGACAACCGATTATACTGTACCGTATTTGAAAACATTTGGTGATGTTGCGTTGGCAGCGCACAAGCCTTAAACTATATAAATACAGGTGACGCTTTGGAAAATGTCCCTCATCAAAGTTTTAGGCAATGCTTCTTCATCGAATAACCATTGCCTGAAATGTCACCTATTATATATGTTTAAATATTTTAAGGCAATGTTATTCATGAATGTGAGTTTTTTGTATACGGTATATAGAGTATGCTTGTGCTGATAAATTATGACCAAATGTTGGTAAAAATTATAGCTGCATTTTGTTCTCTGATATTTTCATCATATGCAGTTTAAACAATGACAAATTACTACATCTGAAAATGTCATCACAAAGACCACACAAACAAAGATATTTGTATTACATTCATAAATTAAAATGTCACACCATAACCTGGATTCAATGGAAATAATTGTTGTGCAAATATCCATTTAATTGAGTTTCTTAAAGATTTTAGGCTCAGGGATCTCCGTGGAATAATGAAGATCATATAAATGTATATTAGGTGTTATAAATATCATCTGTAATGTGTTTCAAAAGGCTTGTTTAAGTCGCATATTGTTTAACACTAATTACCTTCACATGTTTCTTGAAATTTTTTACGTAACTGCCGGACAAACGTCCTTATATGAATCTTTTGGAGAGCTACGGTACGTATTTAGACTCGTATTTGAAATAATTGCAAAACTATTAAATAAATTAACGAATAATGAACTCGTGAAACAGTTTTGCGAGCGCGCACAATAAGTCACAGACAGTTTTAACAAAGGAGGCCCTGTTTTGTTTTGAGTACTGTTGACTATTAGCTGCGCATGGGTAATTTGGTCATCAAATTGGCATCCTATGGCCTCGTACAATGAGTGTCATGGGATCTACAACATCATCAACATGGCAGGCTTGACCGTAGCCTTCATTTACAGTGGATATACTGTATTATGTATATTACCCATAACATATTGGTGTGCCATTATCGTTATTCACCACAGCTATCAGGAATATATTAGCAGCCTTTCGGAAAAGGCACAAGCATGTTTCCACTCGGTGAACGCATTCGCTCAAAATAATGGTGCATAAAAGTGACAATCGTCTTTTACATTTTGGAGGGCCGCATTTAAAATATCTGCATTGTGAAGTTGTGGTAGGGTGGGGGTGAAGTTTATAGTGTAGTCTTTCAATATCTCGCAACCCATTGCCTAAATAAATAAATAAACGGGATAACTACACTGAAATTAGATGAATAATGTACCAAAATACACATGAGAAAGGGAGAGCCACGAGGAGGCACTTTATAAAACGTAACATTGTATACTCGTTGATTATTTCGGTAATGTCACGTAGGTAGACAAAATAATAGATCATGACGTTTCGATCGCAAACGTCGTGATCTATTATTTTGTCTACCGACGTGACATTACCGAAAGAATCAAAGAGTATTGATTCCTGCAGTCACGAACGCTTCAAATCAAGATCATAACATTGTAGTTTGAGACATTGTGAAGAAAAGCAAGTGGACTTGGGCAGGGTACTTCACTCATTCAAAATAGATGATATTCTTAGTTTTTTTTTACTTGATACAGCAAGCGTGCTGTGACTGTTCCACCTGAAGACGGAAGCTTGTGTTGCCTCCGAAACGTCGTGATTTATATTTTATTTTACTTTTGTTAATTTAAAATTTTTACCTACGTGACTTTACCGAAAAAAAACCTAAGAATATGAATCCTTGCAGTCACGAAAGCTTCAAATCTAGAAAATAGATGATGATGATGGTAGAAGCATGCGTTTAGAGTCCTAGAATGTCGGCAGCCTATGGCCACCTTATTCTCGTTCCTGCATAGAGCTTCTCGGCGCTTTTTGCCTCCCCCCCCCCCCCCCATTCAATGTGTGCAGATACTAGTATTGTATGTAGGGTGTGTAGCCATATATACCTACAACATATTGTTTTTGGTGGGGAGGGGTCGACAATTTTTGGTAACCTGTTGGATCAACTTTTTACCCCCACATCTGGGGGGGTCCACTTTCTATAACTTTTTTTATTCAGGCCTTCTGAAAGGCACTTATTATAATTAGTTCACGGACAAATGGAACGCCGGGCTTTTATAATAGCGTTGGCTGCATTAATTTTCACACAATATGCCACTTCCTTGAGCTATCATTTGTGGCCAGGTCGCCTCTGAAAAAAGAGCTATATAACTCAGTGGGCCTTGCCTGGTATAAATAAAAACAAAGTTTAAATAGTTTAATGATGACTCGCGTTTGAGACTCATGATGGAGTGGCCGCCAAAATGGCAGCATGCCTGAGAGGACATCTACCATGGACAGAGACCGATTAAATCCTATCGTGCAGGAGTGAGGTGGATTGATTCATCCCAGGACTGTGAGAGATGGCAATGGCTTCAAGAGGCCTTATTCTGGGAGTGGATTAATCATAGCTGATGACGATGGTTCCTACATCTCAGAAAGTGTTCCTTTAGTAAGCCATCCAGCTTCTGCAGTTTCAGATTTGATGGTATATAAACAACTTCCATATGTAATTAAAGTCTGATAATTGTTTTTTTACCCTTCTATCTGGCAACAAAACTGACACCTTTTTTTTACAAGGAGTCATGTTTGCATAGACCACAATACCTGCAGCCATAATGCAAACAAAAAACATAACTCTGATAATATATGCACTGTCCTTGAAGTTGATTGGTCCACACCCGAGACAGCTTTCCTTAGAGCCTAGTCTCACATGGGTTGGACTAGATGATGCCAAAAGGCGCACAACTCAAATACAATGCACCATCAGAGTATGAGAGCTCGGGGTATTATCAGAGTTATGTTTTTTGTTTGCATTATGGCTGCAGGTAATGTGGTCTATGCAAACATGACTCCTTGTAAAAAAAAGGTGTCAGTTTTGTTGCCAGATAGAAGGGTAATAAACCAATTATCATATTTTTTACTGGCAAATGAGGTTCCAATGGTGTATTTAAAGTCTGTTGAGTCTAATGGACAACACAATGCCATTACTAAAGTAACAAAATGTAGCTATTTTAATTTTGGCCAACATAAGAATGTACAATTGAGATGGGCCAACATTTAAACTTGCTGCAACTCAGAAATTAGGATTCATGGTGAATGGCTTTTTATCACAAAGTCTAATCTAGTTGTAATTAACGCTTTTAATAAAATTATGGAGCTAATGTCTTTATAATGACCTAAATGAAATATAGCGTGTATTACCAATTCCCATAAATTGAATTAATTAAAATATATAAGGCATTATTGTAAAGAAACCCTTCTTTAAGTCTGCTTAACTTGCATAATTTGGACAGGTTTGGTATGTCTACCATTAAGCTAATTGATTAGCTTTCACACAATATGTGAATAACCTACAAATAAAATACTCACAGAAGTGTACTCTAGTTAACCCGTATTATTGCATTTAACAATTACATGTCATGTTTGAAAACACATTCGTGTCAACAACTAATGAGTGTGATTGCGTTGACATTTCCTGCCGTTTTTTGTATTATTTGTTTTTATCTGTTAAATTTCGATTTAAAGCTTTCGTGACTGCAGGGATTCATCTTCTTGGTTCTTTCGGTAAAGTCACGTAGAAGGGAAGTAATAAAATAATGAAAATAAAACATAAAAAAATAAAATAATTCTCACGACGTTTCGGCTACAACGCAAGCAGCCGTCTTCAGGTGAAGAATGAGACGGCTGCTTGCGTTGTAGCCAAAACGTCGTGAGAATTATTTTATTTTATTATGTTTTATTTTTATTATTTTATTACTTCCCTTCTACGTGACTTTACCGAAAGAACCAAGAAGATGTTTTTATCTGCTGAGCCTTGTCTCGTCTCTCCAGTGTCAGGCCAGAGAACGCCAAACGGCGAACAGAACAAAGACCATGCACGTATCAGAGCATTTATAGCTCGGATTGAGCAGCTATAGATAAGGCCATAGAAG